GCATTCTGCAAATCATTCCTCAGCGCCCTAGACGCTCGCCCACCCAAGCTGTCCAGCGATCACATTGCAGACGCACGCCAATATCCCGCACAAGGCGCCGTATGTCCTCGCCGCCCATCCTCTACACATCCCATATCCATACGCGCAAATATCAGAAACTGACTACCCCACCAGTACACCCTCCCCCGCCTCCCACACCCACCCCACCCGCAACGACCAAACCCCAAACCCACCACCAGCGACGATGCCTCCACGCCCTCTTCCTCGTCAATCTCCGTAACTCTCAAACCCATGAAGCCAACCACACCTACCATCCCACTCAGCTCAATCGACCCATCGAAAACCTCCGTCTACGACCTCAAGCAACAGTACGCGACACAAGCCTCGTTATCAGCAGCCAAGATAAAGATTCTGTACAAGAAGAAGCCCGTCACAGATTCAAAGACACTATTGGAAGTCATAGGCACAGATGCGGGTAGTGAAGTCGAGTTTGGGGTCATGGTCATGGCTGGGGCTGCTCTTGGCGGGGCTGCGAGTCCGGCGTCGGCAGGGACACCGGTGACGAGTCCGCCTGCTGTTGCGCCGCCGACGGAGAGCGAGAAGGGACTTGCTAGCGCTGGAGAGACAGCTGCGGGCACAATGACTGGTGCCGCGGATGCGCCACTTGGTCATGGGAAGGAAGTTGTTGCGACAGACGAGTTCTGGGGCGATCTCAAGAACTTTGTGCTCCAGAGGACCAAGGACGCGGATGAGAGTGAGAGGTTACTAGGCGTGTTCAGGGAAGCGTGGGAACAGAACAAGTAGTGATCTGGCATAGCTGATGAAGCGAAACAATCGCACTCACAGATATCCGGAAACAACATCACAAGAAACATCGCGCGCGTCACTTCATGCAAGCTTCAACACAGAGCTGTCTATCGACGACAATTTGACCAGTTTAGCCTATCAAAAGCATACCAAGCCTGATAATGCAAGTTACACCCGGCACTATCACTGCCCACATATCGCATGTTTCGTCTGTAATCATCATGCGCAAAAGCTCGCTATGCCATGACCGCTGCCAATCAACCGCTCGAATCGTTTTCATTTCATATCATTACCAACCGCAGTCGTTCCTTCCTCCATACTAACAGGTGCGCGAAATCGACAGGTCGGAAGGGAAGGTGGGGGGAGAGGCGCTTAGCGGCCCTTGGAGACACGGCTCTTGATGCTCTCGAACTCGATGTCGTCGGCATCGTTGGCTTGGATATCGGCGGCGAGACCGTTGAGGGCGCGCTTGATGGCTTCCTTGGAGGATGAGTACATCATGCGGGGCTGTCAATCGTTAGTCAACCTTTCCCACACAATCCTCTTCCCGTAGTTGTGACGTACGTATTGCGCCGCATCATCTGGCGTCCAGCTGATAAAAGTGATCTTGCTCCTGGAGCCCTCTCCGCTTTCGAGCTCGTACTCGACGTCGAACACGGCGTAGCGACCGCCAATGCCCTCCTTGCCCTTGCGGTCCTTGCTCTTGGCGTTGAGCAGCTTCTCGCGGAAGACGTCAAAGTTGGCCTCCTTGGAAGTCTCCTCGACGACAATCTCTTTCCAGTCGTCGCTGATCTTGTAGATAATCCATTTGATGTCCTTGCCAAGCTTGAGCTCGTTGAAGGTGCTGATGCACTCGGGCGAGACGGAGACACTGCGTCGTGGTTAGTACGTGCGGGGGCGATAGAGGGGTGCGCGAGACGGGTGTCGGGGTGGTGGTGGAGGCACGGGGAGCTATGCGGGCGCGGTCGTTGGGCAGCGACAGCTGTTGATGCCCTGTTGTTTGTTTTGCAGTACGTACCCGGATTGAGCCTGTATCTGTTGTTAGTTCGAGTTCCCTAATAACGCATCTCAAATGTTCTCACCATAATGTCGGATGTGTAAAGTAGAGGATGCTAGAGGGGGGTCGAGGCGCCAGGTAGCTTTATCAGTACTGTGGTTGCCTGTCAGCGTCGTCGTCATCGTTGCGATTGCCGCGTGCGAAGATGCAGCAGTGAAGGGATGGCAGCCTGTTCGGCCCTGGAGCGGTGGCAGCTTACGTCAATAGAGAAAACTGATCTGGGTGGATAGTTGATGTGTTTGCGGGAGAAAAGGCGGAGGAGGAGAGTGTGATTGCTGAGGCTGAGCGAGTAGTGGCAGGTGGGGTGGGGTTTTCTCGATGCACGTACCCTAGTGGGGTTCCTTCAAGCCCTGGAGCACGGCACGATACCAGACACGTTACAAGGTTTAGTTTGGCTCTGCCGCCACAGCAACGCCCTGTCAGTCGTCACAGCATCCCACCTCATACAAGGAACAGGCTGGACAGGTACTCTGCCGTGCACGTTAGTACAAGGGTTGAACTTAACATATTCTTCAAGGTAATGTAGACTTCTAGGAGGCAAGTGTTCAGTTTTTCCCATGTATGAGGTGACCCACCAATCCTATTCCTTGCAGCATTCATAACTCAAGCATATGTTGTGCATCTCGAAAACTCGTTTGAACTTGTTCATATTTCCTTCGTCGCTTTATACATCTTGTCCTTCCCAGGAGATCCTTACACAATATTGTACAATAAAAACCAAATATCCAACAATGCTGCGCTTTTGAGAAATCATGAGTGAAGAGCGGAGACCAACCCAATATCGTGTACATAAATCATCGCTGGGAAAGGCATAAGACTAAAGTCATTATAACGGAATGGGGGTATAAGAAGAAGAAAACAGACGGCTAGGCTTCAGCTGTTTAGAAGCCCATTCCGCCCATGCCTCCCATACCACCCATACCGCCAGGCATGCCGCCTGGAGGTCCAGACTTCTCCTCGGGTGCCTCGACGATGGCGACCTCGGTAGTTCCGAGGAGCGAGGCAACACCGCTGGCGTCAACGAGAGCAGTGCGGACAACCTTGAAGGGGTCGAGGATACCGGCGGCGATCATGTCAACGTACTCGCCCTTGGCGCTGTTGAAACCCTTGTTGAAGTCACCCTTGTACTCGTCGATGAGCTTGCCAACGATGACGGAGCCCTCGGCACCAGCGTTCTCGACGATCTTGCGGGCAGGGTGTGTGATGGCGTTCTTGACGATGGTGATACCGAGCTGCTGGTCGAAATTGGCAGCCTTGACGTTACCGAGAGCGTTGGCAGAGGCCTTGAGGAGACCAGTACCACCACCGGGCAGGATACCCTCCTCAACGGCGGCACGGGTGGCGTTCAAAGCATCGACGATGCGGTCCTTCTTCTCACCGACCTCAACCTCGGAGGAGCCACCGACCTTGATGACGGCAACACCACCAGAGAGCTTGGCCAGGCGCTCCTGGAGCTTCTCCTTCTCGTACTCAGAAGTGGTAGCGTCGTTGATGACGCCACGGATCTGCTCACAGCGCTGGGAGACCTGGTCCTTGCTACCCTCGCCGTTCAGGATGACAGTGTCCTCCTTGGTGATGGTGATAGATCCGGTGGAACCGAGCATGTCGGGGGTGGCCTTCTCGAGCTTGATGTCGAGGTCGTCGCTGAAGACGGTACCGTTGGTCAGGACAGCGAGATCGCCAAGGATGGACTTGCGGTTGTCACCGAAGCCAGGAGCCTTGACAGCGGCAACCTGGAGCTGGCCACGGAGCTTGTTGAGAATGCAGACGGCAAGCGCCTCGCCGTCAATGTCCTCAGCAATGATGACAAGGGGACGGCGCAGCTGCTGGGAGGCCTCGAGAGCGGGGACGATGTCCTGAACAGCGGAGATCTTCTTCTCGGAGAGGAGGATGAGAGGCTTCTCGAACTCGACCTTGGCGGTCTTGGTGTCGGTGATGAAGTAGGGGGAGATGTAACCACGGTCGAACTTCATACCCTCGGTAACCTCAAGCTCGTCCTCGGTGGTCTTGCCCTCCTTGACGGTGATGACACCCTCCTTTCCGACCTTCTCCATAGCGTTGGAGAGAAGCTTGCCAATGTGTGTGTCACCGTTGGCGGAGATGGTGGCAACCTGCGCAATCTCCTCGCTGGTGGTGATGTCCCGCTTGTTCGCCCTGAGGTACTCAACGACGGCCTCGACAGCGGCCTGAGTACCCCGCCTCAGGTCCATGGGGTTGCATCCGGCAGCAACGTTCTTAACGGTCTCGGAGAAGATGGCGCGGGCAAGGACGGTGGCAGTGGTGGTACCGTCACCAGCAGCCTCGTTGGTCTTGGAGGCGACGTCCTGGAGCAGGCGGGCTCCGAGGTTCTCGAACTTGTCTTGGAGGGAAATAGCCTTTGCGACTGTTACACCATCTGGAATGATGTCAGCGGGCAATATTAAGGATGGCGGCGGAACTCGTGCATACCCTTGGTGATCTTGGGCGAGCCGTAGCTCGACTCAATCAGTACATTGCGACCCTTGGGACCCAGTGTTGTTGATACGGCCTTTGCAAGTGTGTCGACACCCTTCAGCAATCCTGCTCGTGCCTCGACGCCGAACTTCAGTTCCTGCTAATTGTTAGTGTTGCGTCTTTTTTCGTGAAGTAGAGATGCAATTGCCGTACCTTGTGCGCAAACCTCTGCTGCTGGAGGTTGTAGCTGGTGGACCTGAGCTTAGAGCTCGAGTTGAGGGCCGAAGTCCGCGCCCGCGATGCGAAAGCTCTTTGCATTGTGACGGAATTGGGATGTGTAGGTAGAGAAAAAGGAATCTCAGATGTTGCTCCTAGACTCCAGCTTTATGCAAGATAACCAGGAATAGTGTGGATGTAGAGGAGGATGCGGAGAAGAGTGGTCGCAGATGTTCGATGCCTCTAAAAATTTGGGTCGCTCGACGATTGGAATCATCGAGAAGGCGCTATGACCACATCCGCGAGCTAGCCTCGGCTTTCGATCCATAACTCCATCGCCAGCCTCACGTTTCACGTTTGTCAGCGTCTGAGATTTCTACTGGACTGTAGGTACACCAAGGTTTTGCGTAGAACTCAATTATCGGGTATGAGCGTTGTGTGCATTGACCCTACTACAACCGATACTAGCTACCTGCCACGTGCCTGCCTACGCCTCCTGGCTGACCATCAACATATCACCATCGATGCGCTTCAGGCCAACACCGAACATCGAAAATATTTCCCGCCGCTCGGCACTAAGGCTCACCGCCCCATACACCTTCTGGACCACCTCGATACATCGCCAAACGTGCAGGTGCTCTTCGTCAAGCTGCCAGAGTGTTCCCCTTGGTCCACTGCTCAACTCTTTCAGCATCTTCGTATCCCTAGCCTGCTCAATTTCAGTCTTCGCTCTCGGCGCTTCATCTTCAAGCACTCTCTCTTTTGCAGCTTTGATCTGTTTTTTGCTCTTCCCTTCCTTCGATATTGGTAAAGCAAGACCTTTCTCCGCGTAGGCGGCCGTGGCTTGGGCCTTCACCGGGCCCTTCCAGAACTCGACTTGAGGGCTGTTGTTTTCGTGTAGCAAGTGGTAAAATATTGGCTCCTCATCTTTGTCGCTCAATAGGTGTAGAGGCTTGGATATCGATACATTAGCAGGAGGCCAACGTGTGTCGCCGTACGGGCACTGGTTCTTCTCTTCTGCCGTCAAGGTCTTCTGGCTTACAGCACCGCCGTTGCCTCCTCCGCCTGTACCAGATGCTGAAGGCGTAAGTGGAGTTGGATCCATACCCAGGTATGTTGTGGGGCCTGCGTAGCTGTAGGCGTGATCGCTGGCCCAGGCACAGGTAATTATTGTCGTCGTAAACGGTCTTCGCGAAGTTACGAGCTGGCTGATGAGCAGATTTTGGAGCTGCGCGATGCCTTCGTCCGTAGTTCTCGAGCGGATCTCCTCGTGGTGCGTTTTGCGGCATGGGAACGTGGTAAGAATTACGAGCATGGCCTTAGCTGTCGTTCAGAATTATTCACGTGGTCTATACATGGAATTCAATAACCTTCACGTATTTTACATGCTGAATTCAGCAACAGTGTCCAAGAACCCTCTCCAACGGGCGAGCAACGCGTTCGTCATACGATCATACAGGAACAGCAACAAGCACCGAACATGCGGCTCTGGTGTATGCGGCAATCAGAAGACGTCGCATACTTTACGTCGTGGCGCAAGCGCCGCCATAACATATCGCGCGCAACCTTGTGACAGCTTGCGGCGTCGCTCGGCCAATGACCTGGTTGTGCGACGCACCGTCCGTCAGTAGGCAAAAGAAGGCAAATCGAAGACCCCGCCTTACAATTTCAGGTGGGTGGGAGCCTAGTAGCCCCTCGGAAATCTCAACACGTATATTCGGTCCATTCGTCGGTTTCTAGATGTGATGCAGTTCCCATGCATGAGTCCTCATGGCGACGTGCCTGCAGGAACGACTGGCGCTTGCCTGCTTGTTTCTAAGTCGAGTCGGAAATCAAACTTCGCTCGAGAGAGTATATAGCCTTCCGCCCCTGGCCCTTCAGTGATGGCCTGGAAACCCTACACGATAAGTGTCAGATTGGCGCCTGGGTCCACAGACCGGTAACAGCATCACGCTCATCGCCACTTTCGCTTCTTTTTACTCTACAGGTTCCAGAAGCATTTGCCCTATCGGTCAGTGGTGAGAATGTCAGACCAGCCACAAATGGAGCCCGCGCCAGAACGTGTGAGGCGCACCACGCGTCGTCCTACACTCCCTCCAGAAAAGAACACCGGGCGCGTCCAAGACAAATACTCGGCATATGACGATTTCGCCTGGGAGGAGATTGAGAAATTCTTGAGGACCAAGTGGCCCCAATGGAAGGATTTCAACCCAAGAAAAGTAAGTGGCTACGTCTCGCAACTGTGCAAGCGTTTTACTAAGCTCCCTCGCAGTTCAACGATAATTGGCAATTCGAAATACCAGTGAAGTTGACAGATGTAAGTCAACACCAAACTACGCTACCTTCTTGGAGTGAAAAAAGTTGCTAAGAAGTATAAGGGCGATCGAAGGCAGCTGAACAATCTGCGGAACGCGCGTAGTCGAACTAGAAGAGTTTCGGACCCCTAGTCTTCCTGAGTAGTCATGTACCAATCATACTGGGGGGCTGTTATCTTGTAGTTTAATGTATCTCTCATGTTTTTGGATTCTCGCTGTCCTTGCTCACTGCCTCGTCCATGGACCTTTACGCCTTGGAGCAGCGGGGCTGACGTAGGCGCACCCGCACTGACCACCTGAGCATGTTCGCCCCTCGATCTCAGCTGCAGCCGTCATGTACGCACACTCAACCGACCGCAGTAGATCTTGGAGACTTGCCTGATGTGGCTATTCATCTACTATAATTACTTGAGCATGCCTCTCTTACAGTCGTCGTCGTTGGAACTATCACCAGCTCATCTATACTTGCCGCTATCGTCTTCGCCCCTTGCACAAGATGAAACTCCCCCCAGATTTGCAAAGCTCTTACCATGGACGCAATGATTATCCAAAAAACCTCATCCCAGGTGGAATGTTTGCTTATGCTTCCAAGCTTGACTCCTACAACATCCGTCTGACTGAAGCTGAATCAGATTTCTGTTTGACTGAAAGAGAAGATGATGTTGACGAAATATACGAAATTCCAGTGATCGACACTGTGAACGGCATCGGAAGACGTAAGTATCTATGAGAGAATCAGGTTGGTCATTGCTGAGCGCACATAGCATTTGTTCCGAAAAACATACACTCACCTGCGAAGCTCAATACCTGGCTTGGCGTGCAAGTATTGCCCTGCACCAACGATCCTTCAGCACAGCAGGTCATTGCTCAGAAGAAGGATCCCAAGTGTCGGTTCATGTATGTAGATCTTTTGATGTATATAACAGATGTGCTGATCATTGCAGTTACCTCTATGCAGAACATTCACGGGATAAATTGAAGTTCACCTTGGACAGTTTATGCCAGCTTTTGACCTATTACCAGGTCATGCCTGAGTATCTGGATTTCATGCTTGTTTTCGGATCGAAATCGGATGAAAGAGACTTGCGGTTCAGCGGCTTCCGCGATCAGATACGCCTGAAGCCTTCCACCAGCGCACGTCATGATATACCGGAGCTAGGCCGTAGCGGCAGAGTCTTCCAGCTCTGCTACAACCTCAAGAGCGTATACATGAAAAATGCGAGCAAAGAAAATCGAAAACTTGACGCTTGGTCTATTCGAAACGCTGCGTTTTACCATCACTTCGACGTTGAGTATGGTACTACGCTCTGGATCGTCACGAAGGGTGGTAGGGACATACTAGACCAGTATCAGAACTTGATCAGCTCGGGTGCGCAATCAGGGGAGATATGCTATGATGATCTTGCGTCATCGTATCGTTCGACTCTGGCAACGCATCTGCTCTACTGCCATTGGTCTACCGAAGACTGGAGGTGGTATATTGGTTGGCTGGAGGACATCGTGGATCGAGAGGTAAGCATTGCGATAACAAAGCATTCTCGAAAAGTCTGACTAAAACTATTGCAGAGTGGCATGGCCGTTGATGGTCTCCGCGGGCACGGTTACGCACACAAAGAATATGAGCCATGGGACATACAAGATCTGCAGCATTGGCAGGACAAAACAAATGAGGTAGTAATGGTCGTTGAAGCTAACGCAAAGATTCTGCGCTCCCTGCGGAAGTTTTACTCTGATCTCGTTGTCAAAAAAGATTTCCCATTGGCTCTGCGAAACGCATGCGAAGACGACATGGATGCGTTTTTTTCGCAGCTCGATGGATTTATCGATGACTTCGATATGCAGATCGCTAGAGCGAGGCTTCTAGCGAACATAATCAGTGATAGGAAGGAGCTTGTCTTGCAGCACTTGCAGAGCCAGGCCTCCGACCGGACTGAGCAGCTTAACAGGAACCTCGAGCGTGAGACTGTTGTCATGCGAATCATCACCATTGTCACACTGATATATCTTCCGGCCACATTCGTATCGGTGAGTTAGATACTCCGATTCTGGCTTCTTTGCTGATCACACTAGACCTTCTTCAGTACTGATGTTGTCAAATATCAGGATCAAAACCAGAGTCAAAACCGAGTCATCGATACAACGAACCAAGCGTACTTCTCTTCTCTTGCGCTGAAGCGATGGCTGCAGGTGACCATACCTCTGACTGCACTGACGCTCCTCGGCGCATGGTCTACGTACAGGCTTTGTACTACATCAGCTGAAGGTGTGACTGTCGCGGGTCGCATCATACGCCGTCTTCCTAAACTTGTTCCTTTTCGCAAAAGCTCTCACGTACGTGAGGATTCGGAAGACGGTTCAGAGTGTTCTGGAGCCATGGATCGAAGACGGACAGGACGGTTTGGAGATGTAATTTCTATCGCACTGTCCAAGCTCTCACCGCTTCATGCGACACGGCAACAGGGCAATAACCCATGTACTGCCTTCGTATAGCGTCAGACAAGCTGATATCTGCTGAAGTGCAGGGATGATCAGCTTGGCCTTGTATGTAAGACTGCACAGCAAACCTTCACCAGTTGAAAGCAACGCATGTTGGGATACCTAGGTAGAGGCCTAGACAGCTTCGGAGACCGCTAATTCTGAGGCTGAGTTATTAGGTGTCAGCAAACTATGCCGACATATCAATTCGGCTTGGGCGGAGCGGGACGATGTCAGGGTGGGTAGGTTGGTAGGGTCCACGCTTAGCGAACAGCATTTCATCAGCGCGCTCATGCACATTTCACGACACCACACAACTACAAGTATATCTAGATCGCGTCTTCACATATCATGCATGGCTTTCAGCTATCTCGTGCGATTTTTATTAGCTTTCCTGTCTACATTTGAAGTTCATGCTCCGCCTACTCGAAAGCGCCTTCACTTTCAGCCTTGTTAGTTACCTTCCAGGTTGTCAGCTCCCTGCAGCCACAGTCTATCCACGTCCACCGGATTGGCGAGGCTTCGAGTAGCCTTGTCACCTTGCTTTGTCAGAGCTTCAGCCGCGCAGCTATGACAATCATGTACCCCGCTCTACGGCGATGCGACGCTCTGTACCCTCGACTCACAGCTCCTCCTTCGTTTCTAGCTGATCGCACACCACCTATCGTCTTTCGCGCACGTATCCTGAGCAATTCCTTGGTCCACGACTCCAAAAAAGCCGGCGCAGCCTATCTAGCGCCGGTCACTCCTGCCGCACTCCTCCATGTGATCTCAGCAGCCTGGCGGACGAGTGGAACCACGTCACGATGCCTCACTCCTCCGAACCACATCCCTCCCCGACCTTGTCCGAGTTTCTGAAACTCCTGCAGAATAAGTGGACATTTCGGGTAGCATGCCAGAACGAATGCGACTCACTGGGGCCTTGTGTCTGCTTACGCCACATTGTCCACGTCGAGGCTCTCGAGGAATGGTGGAAGCAAACAGACAGGTCACAGAGATTACTTAACGAGCTTGGACCAGCCGAAGGTGAGCTGGTTCCTTTCAACATAAAGGTGTTGTTCGGGCAACATCCTTGCCTAAAGGTTTTCAGCCTGTTGTTGAAGCAGGGACATGGACTTCTCCTCGTCGGATTTCGCGCCGCTGGTATAGATGACAGAACCTTCGAGGATGAAGCTAAAGACAACGACTCGAGACTACGTATTGAATTGGAGAGATTGTCCACTTGTAGCGACGTGGACCGAGTTATCGAAGACTTCCAGAAGGAGCGTTGGGCATACTGCCCCCCCAAACTTGAGATGAACATGGATGTTCATCTTCAAAACACCAAGATTATCCCACCATTCTGCCACAAGATCAAGCTAGGAGAGAAAGGAGGTACCGCCTCGATATATTGGGTCACAGTCCAGAAGGATCTGATATCGGACGAAAGTCTCAAGAATGCTATACAGGAAACACTCTACACTGATAAGGACTACGGCGATGTAAGTAACCACAAACAAGTCAGGGTACATCGAGTATACTCTTTCCCAGTACTGACTAAATTCTAGTGTTATCAGATGGTACTGAAGTCCTACCACGGGGATTACCAGAGCGCTTACGATCTCGAGAAAAAGGCGTTCTCAGGCTTGAAACACAACGGCTCCGTCCCAATAGTAGGCTGCTTCGGTTGCTATACCCACGAGTACGGAGAGGGTACCAACGCGGGAAAGGCATACAATCTGCTTCTTGAGTACGGCGAGCGGGATCTTTACGAACATTGGGAGGACTAGAAGAACGTGCCGCCAGTGCGAGCAAACGAGATCATCCGGTTTTGGGAGTCGCTTTTCGAAGTCGCTGACGCGATCAAACACACACATAATCTTGAAGTTCAATGCGGTAAAGAAGAAGTGCTGCGGTACAACGGGTAAGGCCCCACACTGTGCTAATACTCAGAAAACTAACATGAGAAGCTGGCACGCAGACATAAAACCAGACAATATCCTTCTCGTACGTGGACGTATGAAGTTAGCGGACTTCGGTTTCTCGCGCTTCTCACCCGCTATGAGAACTCCTGACGGATCTGTACCAACCGGGTTGCTGGAGGGGTTTACCGATACTTATGGTGAGCAAAACAACTCTACTCTTGCAAACCATCGCTGATTACCCGAAGGTGCTCCTGAGGTCTCGATGAAAAGTCCAAACGGGACTCTATCTGGCGTTACTCAGTCAATTGACATATGGTCCTTTGGATGCGTCTTGTCGGTAGCTGCTACCTGGATCGTGTTGGGGTTTCAAGGCATCCGTCAATACGGGATATTGCGACAATTGGCACCTGCTAACAATGTCAACGGAAAGATCTACGACCGCTTTCACGACGGTATTGACGTGCTGCCTGAAATCAAGAAATGGCATGACTTCCTACGTGGGCATCTGCGGCCTTCAGATACAGCCACAACGAAGGTACTGGATCTTGTAGAATGCAAGATGCTTCAGACGGCACCTCGAGACCGGATTAGTACGGACGATCTGTGCAAGGAGCTCGCATTACTTTTGACGGCCGCTACTGAAGGAATCAGCCATCTCCAGACAAACTCTAAAGACACAGATGGCGCAGTGTTGAGGGCACTTCTCAAAGCGGAAGATGTTGCGCAGGTTCAAAAGTCTTCTGAGAAGTCCAGTCACCCTCTTCAACAGCGAATAGACGTCACTGGCGATGCAACGCCGCTTGATCCACCCGAAAGAGCGTCCGTGCGGTTCAGAAAGGAAGAAAATCGAAAAAGCAGGCGCTTGGGTCAGACGCTATACAGGCGGGAAATACTGCAAAGCGAGCTGGGGTACGCAACTTCGAACATCGTCGAGAAGAGCGAAGTTTTCGTCAAGGGCGATCATGGAGGTGCTACGACTGAGAGTCCTTTACAAGAAGATTCTTTGTCAAGCTTTCATACCAGCTCAAGTATCTCGAACGGGAAGTCTGCGGATTTTGGTAGTTTGGGCATCCGGCAAGGTACCAACAAGGACCGATCGCCGATATCACCTTACACGTTGCCGGGTCTACCTATCAGAATGAACGGTATGTCTCAAGCGCAGGAAGGAGCGTTTCATCAGCATGAAATCCATGGAAGACGTCTTGACTTGAGGCACGCAAGAGAACATCATGCCACTGGTAGCCCAACATCAACATCTAGGCCAGGACATCAGTACCACGCAGTACATTCAGAGCTATCGCACTATGCGACACATCCTTCGAGTTCACATAACCGTAGGAGCCCGGCCATTGAAGATATCTCAGGACCATCATCAGCACCCTCAAGTCAACCGCCACCCCAAAACTACTTCCAAGGTGTCACGCAAGCAGCTGGACACAGTCAGATAGAGAGCTCTCAAGCATCATACAGAGGTAGTGCGCAGCAGAGTTATCGCAATGTTGATTACGAAAATTCACGAAACTATACATCGAGAACCGTTCCACTGCTTCAGACACCTGTGCGCAATCTTCAAGCAGGGGGCGCAATACACACTCGGCCGAACCCAGTTGAATCCGTTCACGAGATGCCTTTGGTATCCAGCCCTGAGATCAAGGTCACTGAACATCCCGGATCCGATGCGGTTAGCCCGCACCAAATCACTCCCCCTGGAGGTCTGCGGATATCGGAGGCGCTTACACAGTTTGATCATGAGCAATATGCTCACGGTCTTACTGCAGGAGTTCAACCCATCCCATCAAGTGTCTATGATCTACCATACGACATTTGTCATCAGCGACACCATCTGGAACATGGAACACGGAAAGGTGTATTCGCTAAGTTCAAAACAAAACTTGGTCGAGAGGACAGAAAGCCAGACTCGGATCTTGCAAAAACATTCGATGCTTCACGCGATCTGGTAAGCCTAGGAAGGGAAGATCACAAATTCTTTCTTCAAGCTAACGTCACTCAAGGTATTGGTCATCGACAACGGTGCGTCAATGTTCCATCATTGGTCGATTGTGACGTTCGTAGCAGAGACTCTTGCCAAGAAAGCTGCAGGATTGGACAAAGACGGTATCGACGTATACTTTACGGTGGCCGGCGACGAGTACAATCAAAAAGATCTAGTCGGCGAAAGCGGAAGACAGCAATTGCAAACCGCTCTGTCAAACGCCACGCCAGACCATGTGGATCGCGAAGGTTGCCAGACGGATATGTGCGATGCTTTTTCCAAAATCTCCCACAATTGGAAGGAGAAAGGCAAGCCCGCAACCACCCTCCTCGTGCTTACCGATGGTATTTGGAAGGAGACCAACGATGTTCTGTTCGACCAGGCCGTGATTAAAGTCGCTGAGGATCCTATTGCAGCCACAACCAAGCAAACGGGTAAACGCTTGTTCAGCATTCAGTTCATCCGGTTTGGCGAGGAAGGGTACGAACGACTACGCTCGCTCGACGACGATCTCTGCAAGAAACATGTCGGTAGAGACATTGTAGATCATTGTTCCTGGCGCACTAGTGGAACAAAGATGTTTAAAGGCAGCATCGAAGGATACCACGATCTAGACGACGCGGATGAGCAGGACATGAATTACCACTACACGGAGCTAGTCGGGTTGTTCAAGAGATACAACGAGTCAAACAACGCGGCTGAATCTAGCGCACACTTATCGCCTCAATCGCCAACGCCATCATCCCTTAAGCGCTCCTGGAGCCGATCGTCAACCTCTTCCGATCGCGAGAAGCATCAGTCAGCACCAGCGACATTACTCCGCAAGAACAGCTCGCATCGTAGACCATTCTCACAGTGAGCTCACCTCATACAAGAAAAAAGCTGAACAGGTCTGCAGGCTACATTAAGCCAAAACCTTGCAAAGGCAGTGACCCAGCGCCAATGTAGGCTCCAGGCTGTTCAGCTTTTTCTTAGGTTGGCGTGAGCTCGACGGTATTGACGGCATCAAAAGTACCAGCGCACATCATGCGCCTTGTATCCCACCGCACGTCCGACCGACCTTGTTTCCTTCCTCTCAAAATCTGGCTGTTAGCTCTACAGGCTTTTTCTTTTTCTTTTCTTCTTTTCTTCTTTTGGACTCGCAATTGGCGTGACGGTTGGGAAGCTCACGCTGACGGTTTGTAATCTTATCTGGGTACCATGGCATGGCGTAAGGATATACGGAGGAAGATACCCATGGATTGGCGTTTCTGATTTCAAGATCCATCCGCCTGATGTTCGGCCTGTCTACAGGCAGGTACTGCATATTCATTCGTTTTACCAGTGCGCGCGTCGGATTCAGTAGTTACGAGAGCGACAATCTCATGCATTGGTGATGAAGCTACGATGCACGTCGAGGAACATAAGACGGCTTGATCGGTGAACTAGATCGGTAATGAGTCCAAACGAATGTTTTTCATTTTAGAGAAGAGCCCGTATTACAGGAATGGGGTGGAATAAACCGTGTTATATACACCTAATCACACATGTCTAAGTTCAAAGCGGGTATCCACCGAAGACCTCAGTGATGCACATATCTAAAGCCAATCCTCTTCCTCAGCGCCGCACGCTCCGACAGCTGCTCCGCAACAAAGCGAACACTAGGCTTCTCGATCTTCCTAGCGCCCTCCCTCAAATATCTGCTATGTCTCGAAGCCGTGCGAACAGGGTCTGGGGTGTACGGTGTCGCATCGAACCTGCGAACCAGCGGTATAGGCTTGACGTGAATCTCCTTCGGCGCACGTCGACGAGCGCGTCGTATGATTTCCCTTGAACGTATCGATATTGTCGGTTTTACTGGCTTGTACGAGTCGACGACGCGAGCAGACGGTGCTTTGCTGGGAGGAAGGGAGATGAAGTTGTAGGCCGTAGTGTTGGAAGCGCGCTTGCGACGGGGCGCTCGGCTTGTTGTTTGTGCGGTCGGTGGGTTTACTTCTCTAGATGATGGTTGAGAGGTAGTTTTACTGGGAGTGGAGTTGTTTGGAGTCTCACCTTGGGGCTGAGATACAGGCTCAGAACCCGTCGAGGACTCAGGAGTCGTGGTAGGCTCTTGCGCTTTTGGCGTCTTCTTGGCGGCAGCATTTAGTGCTGTAATGTCTGGCCTCCTAGAGCCGGGTCCCAGCGGTTTCGGCTTAGTATTCTTTACTGTGGTGTAAACAGTGCCCTTGACAGCAACACCTCCAGTCGGCCCCTCAATCCATACATCGTATATACTGCCATGTTGCAATTTCTTCTTCTCCAAGCCGCATATGCGCATCTCCTCGTCGCAGTACAGTGGCGCTAGATTGCGATATTCGATCGACTCCAGATCATGCTTTCCCCCGGTCTGTGCATACACGTAATGGCTCATGGTTTTTAACATGAGGAGCAGGGAAAGAGGACCGTGAACTAGCAGGTTGCGATGGCCTTCGACGTTACGAGCGTACTCGGGATCGAGGTGTATGCGATGGGCGTTGAAGGTAAGAGCAGAGAAGCGGAAAAGAAGGGCGCGATCGGGAGTGAGGGTATGTGAGAAGTCAGGCTTCCCAGGCGCTACAGAGAGTCAGTAGATAGTCGAGAGGGTTGTCAGAGTACGCACGCTGCAGATACTTCACGGTGGCCATCTGCCCGGCCTTGACTGCCTCCAATTCGGCAGCGGGGCGCTCCTTGAAAAAGACCAGGTTACGCTCCTCCTTCACGATGGCGTCGCCCCAATCGTCGCCGTCTCGCAACTGCTGCTCGAGATAAGTCTTTAGTTTTTTACCTCCATTCTTTCCCAATTTGCCATGCTTCGCGTTGTACGCTCTCCCTACGATGTCCACCCGTGCAAAACGCCGCTCGATCGTGACAAAGATCTTGGCAGTGTCGCCTTCTCCGTGCAGTCGGACATGCTTTATGTGCTCCGTCCCAGACATTGGAAAGTCGACTCTAAAGCCGCGGTTACGGTCGTAATACTCGTCGGGTCGTACTTGTATCGAGCCGCCAGCCCACATACGCCGCACCCACGGCCCGCCCGGGCTCTGCGACGCGTCTGTTCCATCTGGGAGTAATTCGGTTGTCCGCACCGCGGGATTGAACCATATCAAGTGATGGCCAAACGGCACCATGCGACTACGCACACCGGGGGCATAGCACCATTCTTCAGGTAGGAAACCCGAGATGCTTTGCGATAGCTTGAATTCGTGCGGAGTGGCGATGAACTCAGGAAGGTGTATGGCGTCTCGCTGCAACATTTCGGTGCGCAGCTCTTGGAACCATGGCGGATCCTCCGAATTGGCTGAAGAATAGCATCGCAGCGGTATTCTTCGCCATTGCGTGCGATTGACGTCGTCCCAGGCAATCCGACGTGCGCGCGGGGTCCGGAGCAGCATTGGGAAGAAGGTCTGCGGACATCGCAAGACCCGCCGCAGATGCTATCCTTGAAGTCTTGGCGGCTTGATGACGTAGGCGACTTGACCGTTTGAATGCCCATCACTTGTACGTAGCTTGACACTTCACCTATAACCGCCACTGCTAACCTCCGACATGTACCAGTCTTCATATACTATGCGCTTGGAAAGCTGTGAAGATTCAGCAGCCATGCCAATCCAACCGCCAATGTCATGCGCGGCTGACCGCCTCGCCGCGACCCACTTGTTAGCCACACCCATCATCTTCACACCGATATACCATAGACGTAGCTTGCATTGAACTCGCATCTTAAGTTTAAGCTTGCAACTGATATCGCGTCACGCGTCTTGGCGTGTTTGTTTGTGTTCCTCTTTCGGCTATCCACGAGCGTCGCACCTTCTTCACGTCCACCCCGGCTCAATCTTCACCGCCAACGCCATCGTTTCCTTGCAAACAGCGCCTATACCTCATAAGCGAGCCTCCAGTATGTGTACAGTTTACCAAACTCGTGAGTTGCTGTTTCGTCTGCGTCCGAACCGCGTTCGTCATGCTAAGCCACGGAAGCCCACAGCGACTGCCACAACATAGCCAGCCGTATACGCACGAGGTGACGGTTTCCATACACGTGAACAACGAGTCACCCCAAATTGTCACTCACCATACATCCCTGTGCAAGGAAAGCGCTGGACGCCTTCACACGCAGGATATCACCTGCACAGCGATGACGAGCAAGATGGAGCTTCTGGAGTGTCCCATGTGTGACTTCACCGTGCTTCAGAAAGATGACTACATCCTCCAACTACACTTTGAGCAAGTGCATACCGAGAACTCTCCTTTCGTGATAGAAGACGACCCAGAACCGTTGCCCCCTTCGTTGCCCCTCAGGCCTTCCTCGCTCCGCCACAACACTGAGGACACGCCTTCCTCCGACGACTCGGAAGAGGAGGAAAGCACTACAGTGTGCCCTGATCCCAACTGCGGCGAAGTCGTTCCTCTCTCCGACTTCAACGACCATCTCGAATACCACAACGCAGAAACTTTATCATTTGACGAGACTACAGGAAAGTATCATTCTCATCATTCATCCGCTACTATGCAAGGCTCGACCTCATCTCGTCGTTCCCATGCAAGTCAGGCAAGGACCACAACATCCGAGCGAAGTTTCAGCACAGACTTGTCAGATGCTTTGAAGAGGACTGATGGTCATGGCCGCAAATCGAAAAAGCACCCACATCGGCATCGGCGCGACACCGATGAGAGCGAGAAGAGTACCATCGGAAGGAGTATTCTAGGCTTTAATCCTTTTGCAAAACCCGATAAGTCTGTCAAGCCACCGATCAAAAGTGCTCGGCTAGGTGTAAGTCAATCTTCCTTTTGGCAGGGCGTAGTTAATCTCCGCAGAAATCTGAACTGGGACCCTACGCTTGGGAAAATCGAATGCCTGGGTGGCTGCACGATCAGCTGGATGCCGGCCCCAAGATCACTGCCGTCAACCGCATCGGCCGAGATGGTCGCCTCATCAAGCATGATCAGGTGCAGAACGAGACGCCAGGCATCATTCCCATCCTCGCGCAACTATCTGCTCTTGATCGGACCGTGAAGGAAGCATATTACTGTCATCCATCGACACTCCACGTCGGTAAAACCCCAAGCGAAGGCGGCTTTTGCGGTTACCGGAACATACAAATGCTGCTGTCCTACATCCAAGGCGCCAAGGCTCAAGGCTACGAAGAATTCCCAGGACGGCTGCCGACTATTCTGAAGATGCAAGATCACATTGAAGATGCTTGGGATAAAGGCATCAACTCAATCGGCCGTGTCCAGACTGGTGGTATACGTGATACCAGAAAGTACATCGGCACACCAGAGGTAACATCTTACTCACCTTCAACTGTTCTCTGCTAATATGTAGCAGGCTCAAGCCTTTTTCCTCAACTCAGAAATCAACTGCGCTGTCGAGCAGTTCAGCGACAATAAAGATCGCGCCATTGCGGCCCACGAGCTTCTCCTCGCTGCCATGGAACGATATTTTGCGCGAGCGGCTGCCAGCGACGGATCCAATGTCTCCAAGACTCTTCTACCGCCTATCTACCTTCAGCAACCAGGACACTCGATCAGCATTGTCGGTTTTGAGCGCCGCTTTGACGGCTCATGCAATCTGGTCGTCTTCGATCCCATGTATCTCACGAGTCCTGCGATGCATAAGCTGCTTGGCCGGAAGAACATCAGGACAGCTCGACCTGAGGTTCTGTACGCATATCGTCGCGGAGCTGGGAAGCTTAAGAAATACGCTGCTTATGAGATTCTGATGTATGTTCATTAGTCGATAAGCGTTTGTCGCATGCTGACTTTGCTCAGGCTCACTGCGTCACCGCCTTTGTTTCCCGCTTGGGATGTATGAGCATCCATCCTCAAGCCTGACCCTTGCATATAATAGCACAGTCCGTTTCT